TCAATATAAACAAAGGATACCTCCTACCCACTTTTAGAAAGAAAATAAATTTACTCACCAATAGTCGTAATAAAATTATTCAGCACTATATTAGAGTATTATAGTAGAGTATTATCGAAACGATGATTAAAGACTATAATCCCCAGAATGTTACAAAAAAATCTAATGTGCAACTAAAAATTATTTTATCCGATGATTCCCCGATATATCAAAGCCCACGACGTTTATCACCTCTCGAGCTGGATGTTGTCAACAAACAAATTAAAGAATGGGGAGAACAAGGCATTATAAAACCAAGCAAATCAGATTTCGCAAGCCCGATTGTCTTGGCTAAGAAAAAGAATGGAACGTACAGATTGTGTGTTGACTTCAGAAGACTTAACAAGAAGATTATTAAAGAAAGATTCCCACTGCCTTTGATAGAAGATCAGATAGATCGTCTAAAGCACGCTAAGTTTTTTACATCACTTGACTTACAAAATGGTTTTATGCACGTTGATGTTGCAGACGAAAGTCAGAAGTATACCTCATTCGTGACGCCTCAGGGCCAATATGAATTTATTAAGATGCCTTTTGGACTTTCAACAGCACCAAGTGTTTTCCAGAGATTTGTGAACGATGTTTTTCAAGAATTAATTAACGATGGTACAGCGTTGGCGTACTTAGATGACCTTATCCTGCCCTCAGTGACAGAAGTAGAAGGTATTGCTAAACTTAAGAAAATATTTCGAAGAGCAGAAGAATATGGCTTAATTTTTAATTGGGAGAAATGTCACTTCCTAAAAACAGAAATAAACTATCTTGGTTACATTGTTCGTGAAGGAGAAATCAGACCGTCAAAAGAGAAGATAAACGCTGTTGCAAATTTTCCCGTCGCGAAGAACATCAAAACTCTTCAATCATTCCTAGGGATTACGGGATATTTCAGAAAATTTGTCATTAATTATTCACTAACAGCTAAACCTCTCACTGAATTACTGAAGAATGAAGTCGTATTTGATTTTGATCTGAATTGCCAGAAAGCGTTTGAAGAGCTTAAACATGTTCTATGCAGTTCACCTGTTTTGAAGATTTATGACCCAGAACTTGAAACTGAAGTCCATACGGACGCAAGTGCCGACGGTTATGGAGCTGTATTGCTTAAAGACAAGAAGATGCACCCTGTCTATTACATGAGTAAAAAGACTTCGATAACTGAGAGAAAGTATCACAGTTACTACTTAGAAGTCCTAGCTATTGCTGAGGCAGTAAAGAAGTTTCGGGTTTATTTGCTCGGAATAAAATACGAAATTGTGAAGAAAAAAAGAAACGATCGATATGATCTGAAGAAAATTGGTTCAGGCGAGGGACCGATAAACATATCTAGTTCCGCCGATATGATGAAGCCATGGAGTTCAGGTGATAATTCTACCGACTCATCTGAGGCAGATGAGTAGCAGGATAGTCGTGTGGGAATGATGTTATTAATCGATTGTTTTGGTTTATTTTGTCTGTGATTTGGTAGCAACACTAAGATAGATCAAAGAGTAGGGAGAGATTTATGTCATGTAGATGACGTGTGTTGATTTGTGAAAGAAAAATACAGAATAATAGTTAAAACGGACTTTCTTTGGGTAAATATTCCTACATATATATAATACTAGCTGAGACCCGCGGTGTTACCCGCGTTTGTTGTTATAACCGCGGGTAACGCCGCGGGGCGAAGCTAGTCTAAAAAAAGTAGCCTAAGATACTCCCTATCTCATCAGCTATCTTCCAGTGAAAGTCCCGTCGAAATCGGTCCAGCCGTTCCAGAGATTACCCGGAACAAACAGACAGACAGACAAAAATTGTAAAAAATGTTATTTTGGTATATGTAAGTAAACATACATATGCATTTAGTAAAAAGCGGTTATTTTAATATTACAAACAGACACCAATTTTATTTATTTGTATAGATATATTGCACGGCCGCTTTTTTGTAACCATCTGAACTCGGCCGAGTTATTTACGAATTGCAATGATTGTCAGTATTTTAATTGTATTTCGTTAATTATTTAGTGTAAAGAAATGAAATATTATATGTCCAAAGTTGAATAAATGCACTTATTATTGGAATAGGTTCTATTACGCATTTCGTTTAGAATCTCGTGCAATAAGACTGCATATGAAACAGTGGTCCAGTCACAGTAAATTATCCCATAGCTCATTCATTACTAGGAGTACATAAATGATACTTGGTAAGACGTTGTAGATGCTTAAAAGGTCTACGTTATAAACTAGACCCTAGTGCATTAGCACCAAGTACTAGAACCTAATAACCTTATTTTACGTAAATATTTAAATCTTCTGAATGATATGGGTTTTTTTAAATCCATTTTTACAAACAATATAAACAAATTCAAAGCGTATGAAAAAATCTACAGCTCTCTAGAAAAGCGTTTTATATGAAATCTAGCAAATTTCCAAATGTTGTCGCAGCAGAAACTGGAATATCTTCGCAGTTTATTGACGCACAAATTTCATTTAAACATACACAATTACTTCACGTCATACACTAATTATCTGTTAAACTCAAACAATGAAATTCGAACTTTTTTCGCTGGGGCAACGCACACGTCCGACGCGCAATTAGCACAAGTAAGAGTTCTAATGGTGCAAAACTTTTGTACGTTACTGAATTGATGACAATTTAGCAACGAACTACTATATCGTCTATGAATCTACAAGTAGTACAGTCTATATAAAGTTTATGTTTTGTGTTGGCTACATGTTTTCGAACTGCTGCCTCTAATTCTAAGCCTATCCATTGACGCCCATTTTCTAGTTTACGATGACTAACAATTTTGGTTGACTTAATGAAGTCGTTTTCACTTAATTTTAATTCGTCCTTGATATTCTGACGATATAAGGCTGTTAGGAAGACACGATCTTCCGTAGAACCGGGTACGTCTTTTACAATTATACGAGGCCTTAAGCCTTTCGCTTTTTCTAATCGTAACCCTACTGATTTAATGGCGTCTACAGATTCCAGTTTCTTAAGCTGCCTTTCGTTAGCTACTCGTAACATGACGCCTGCCTTAGCGGTTTCTTTAATGCGTATAATTTAAAAACCTTCATCGCTCGGTTTAATAGCCTTCATTAGAGCTTGTTTCGTTGCTGACGAAGTCGCATTCCATCCACTGAGCGTTCCGCAGTGGAATATGCAATAACACAGGGCCTTGGATTTAGGTGGTAAGTGAACATTAAGTTTGTTCGTGTACGTAAAACTCGTTTGTTGAGTTGCGATACCCTCCATTTGACGCTCAAAATTCGCTAACTTCGTTTTGTTGCTAGAGGATTTTATTGCTAACAAGGATATGAGTTCGGAGGGTAATTCGTTGGCCCTAGCAGAAGCAGGCCGGGGTGGTCGCGAGCGCGTTGCGAAGCGCGCTCGCTTCCAGGGAGCACAGGGAACATGGGGTTTCCACACGGGGGGGTCGTCTACTCGTCTGTAGATGACCCGAGGTATGTCGGGGCACCAGGGACTTCCTTTCTAGGGTATACCTGGTTCCCCGGCTATTAGTACCCGAGACGGCGTGGGGTTTTAGTCGGTTCGAGTCCGACATGCCACCGACAGGTGGTATCCGAGGGGATTACCGCACGGAAAAAAAAAGGGTAATTCGTTGAGTAATGTTCATAATCGCCGTTTTATTATCTAAATTCATACGTGATCCTTGATCATTAACCAATTCGTAATTTTTGCCAAATAATCGGTAGCCTGTGACAGTAACTCGCAGTAATTATATTTCCTACAGCTATCACGACCGCTAAGAGACAAAAGATTCCCACTTATATCCGAAGTATTACTGCGTTTACATCTATTGTCTTTCGGCGAGAAATCCGTAGGTAACATGGGTGACATTTTACTAAATAACCTTTTCCATTTTCTGTTAGAAATTTTTACTTGTACCGCCGGGATCCGGCAACTGGTTAACAACCGGATTTGGACCTGGATTTGAGAGAGTCAGCAGGAGGGTAGCCTCTCGGTAGCTTTCTCGCACCTGGCATCTCTTATCTCTGGTCTTATATCTCATGGTTACACTACAATCTATCGTAGAACGCAACACATTGTAATTATATATTTATTCTATAAAATACAGAAAAATTCACGTAAAATCATCAAAATAAAAAGAGGTACTATTTTGACAGCTGACTCTAGAGACTAAATAAAAGTGGTTTTACTGATACATTTATTTTGTCTCTTTTTCTAAACAACTTTTTGCGGAAGCTTAGGTTTCTCACTTGCACATAATAATATTGTTCGTCTATCATAATATCGATAATACCTATACCTATTAAATCTATGACAATCAATCACATATATTTTAATAAGATATGTAGGTACGCGGATTCATTTAGGGGTTTTAAAAAGCTCTTATTTTTGTAGTGTTTTATCTATGGCTCTTTAGTCTTGAACACTAGAAAAATGACAACCCCAAACTCTGACAAAGGGCGAAACTGTCAAATGTCAACGATTTTTGTCTATTTGCTGTTTGCAATATTAGTTTTTATTTTATCTATTTGCAATGTTAGTTTTTACATTAAAAGTTAGATATTACCAAAATTCAATGCAAATAATCGTTTGAATGTACATCATGTATTGAGAAATCTTTGATTATTTTTAAAAGCATAAAATATATGATTTATATGAACTACTTTCTATATCGTCTCCCGAAAGAAAAAATTGACAAGCCGATGACAGCCATGACAGACGACGGATAACACTGACATTATGCTAACTGTATCAGAGTTCACAAATATTTATTTCTAATTCGCTTTATTTAGATGTCCACGACTCGTTTTCGATTACTCATAGCGTAAAACGTCTAACGTGTTTTGTGACTAAGGCGTCATAATTAATTCGCGACGTTAACTCGAATATTCTTTGTGATCTGTGGTTGTTTTTGTTACGTCCACCGGAAACTTCGCTTTGTATTGTTCTATGATTTAACATTGTAAGTCTTTAAATATACTTCAAAATGTATAAAGTTTACACAAGATCACAGAACTATTTTAATGGCAAACAGCAAGTGACAAATTCACTATTTGGTAAGATTATTTTAACCTGAAAAGTGAGTTCCCTATTGACGAATGCAGTTTTGCTAATTATTTTTACCTTTACTAACAGGTCCGAATAATATCGGACAAGACATACAACGTATCCATGCAACGACGACTCTTAAGTTTCCCCCTGCCATGGCTTTAAAATTACCTACAAATGTTGATTTAAATGCAACAGAAGTGAGCAGATTTTCGCCTCAAAGAGAAAGAGACATATCGGGCCCAGTTATAAATTTTTGCTACAAGAAGCAAAAAGCTTTTGGAAAAATTGACATTACAATACAAGCAGATCCCCATGCCAATAAATATGACTGTCGAGGTGCTGTCAGTCTTAACTCCTCAATGCAAAGTAATGTTCCCAGTCCATTTAGTGGAAATCACACCCATCTGAATATGCCTGGTTCACAGTGGGGTCAGGGGCATAAATACCTGTCAAGTAATTTACAAAGTGCTCATTATTTGACCTTGAGGAATGAATATCGGGCAAAAGCAAGGAATGACGGTATGTATATGATCAGATGCTAATTAAGTATATACCTACATTGCAAAGTACAACAGCACATTATTTACCATAGGTTGGATATAAAATCTAGTCTTTAACATTTAATATTTCCTGCTGTAAAAGTAGTTTCATGAATACTAGTTTGTGCTATGATTTAAATACCATGTAAATAAAATGTTACGCAAATATTTCTGAACCTGATATTGTAGGTGTGTGGTCCTGGGGCTAAGCTTTTTAGTATTTGCTTTCTAAACAATTTATTTTTCAAGGCCATTCGTAATGCTTACTTATGGTGAGTATAACATAGAACATATAGCAGCTAGTGTAGTAGTTCCAGCAGGAAAACATCAGTCTACTTCAGAATATTGAAACATTTCTTTTAGTACAGCAATAATACAAAATATCATTTCTATTCAGTTCAAATAGTAAATAAGCTATTATTTACTACTTAATGTTATTATGCATTACTACTATTTACTAATATATTAGTAAAATTATTACTGGTTTAGAAATTGCATTAATCAGTTAACTGAAATCGTTTTGTTTGGGCCATCTGAACATAGTTCCGTTGTTGTTTGAGGATGGCTTTTAAATCAAATGCTTATCATTCATTTTTGACTTGACATGACTAAAGTCAAAATAGCCTTTCATGAAAATATCACCAATTTAATCATAGTATGTTTTTTTTTTGACGACCGGATGGCGTAGTGGTTTGTGTAACGGACTGCTATTCCAAAGGTCGCGGGTTCGATTCCCGCTCAAGTCAAACATTTGTGTGCATGAGCATTTAATGTTTGATTTGGTCTGGGTGTTTCTATGTATAATAAGTATGTATTTACAAAAAAAAAAGTATATATGTATTTATATCAGTTGTCTAGTACCCATAGTACAAGCTCTGCTTAGTTTGGGACTAGATGGCGTTGTGTGAATGTGGTAGAATATTATTATTATTATTATATTTACTAAATTATTATATTATTTCTAACCCTGATCCTTAACTACCCAACTAATAATCATAAAAGTATGCACACCCATGGCTAGGATTATAAAAAATTGTGGGAGAGCTATAGAAATTAGTGTGCATTACCACTGCAAAATAATTTCGAAAATAGTTATTTAAATGGTAGAAATAATTAGTTGTAAAACTTCTGTAATTGTTACCCACATTTTTAAATTTGTTGCACTTATAGTTTTTTCACAAAATTATTTTCTGCTGGGGTAACATTACCGCAGCCAGTTTTTTCTTTAAAATTTGAGTATTGAAATAAATATTAGCTTTATAATTTCTTTGTCTAGATGAGGTAAATATTGCAACTTATTTTACATTTGTTTTATCTTTGTCTGCAAAGTTAGTTGGAATCCTGCTGGAGTAATGTTTGTGTGTTTGCTGGATCTCTGAAACAGGTAAGCTATGAATCTAAGTCTTTAGATGCCTCATTCAAAGTATTAGGATGTATTGAAGTGTTTTTATACCTAATCTTAGATATAATAAATAATCTTTAAATGGTGCATCATTTTTGTTTTTTATTGCACAGCAAATTGAAACTTATTCTTAAGAAGTTGTGTACAAAAGATGGTTAGAATCCGCTTACCAGTTTTAGAGATCCAACAAAGCCACAAACTTTACTCCAGCAGGATCTCGAATAACTTTGCAGACGAAGATAAAACAAAATATACAAAATAAGTTTCAACATTTACCTCGCCTAGACAACTAATTAAAATGCTAATATTTATTTTAATATTGTACATAAAAAGGAAAATGTCTGCCTGCAGTAACATTACCTCAGCAGAAAATGATTTTGTGAAATAACTAATGCAACAAATTTATAAATGTGCAGGATAATTACAGAAGCTGGGCGACTAGTCATCTATAACATGTAAAGTACTATTTTCGACATTAGTTTGCTGGGGTTACGCACACTAGATATTAGGTAATTCATATCAATATATATTATTAAAATTTCTAGGTGATAGTGTATTATTAAGTGAAGTCTTATCTTTAGGGATTATTGTGAAATTTAGTGAGATTCTACAGATCACCTGTTGTTAAGTGACTGTCGCCGCCCATGGACACTTGCAATTTGGAAAACACAAGTGCACAGCCCGAAATGCCCTTCCCCGCCAGCTAGAAAATCAAATGTGCCATTGAAAGTAGACAATGAGAAAATGCTTTTGTCTTTATACAGATAATCACGTGATATAATCAAAATTAACGTAATCAATATATTTACCTCTTTTTCAAAGCATAGCTGTTGCAATAAGGCATATGAGTTCAAATATGCCCCAACTGACGAATAAAGAAAAATTGAAAAAGGCTATAAAAGAGTATGGCTCAACAGTGATTATATTTCATATTGGCATCTCCCTGATTTCTTTGGGGAGCTGTTATCTTCTTATATCTAGGTATGTGTAGTGATAAATAAAACAAATATGTATAATTTTATGTATAACTTTGCCTTATCATGATCCTTTACCTGCATTATTAACCTAATCATTATTAGCTGAGTATTCATCATCATCAAATAACATTTACAATATATATTTTGTTTTCAGTGGCGTGGATTTAGTAGAAATACTAAAGTACTTCAATATTAATGAAGGAACAATATTGAATGCGGCTGGATCGAATGCAGGCACATTTGTAATTTCATATGCAGTACATAAATTTTTTGCTCCAGTGAGGATAGCTATAACATTGACAGCCACTCCTTTTATAGTGCGATATTTAAGAAATATTGGCTTTTTAAAACGAAAAATGTCTGGTGGTGGTAGTAATTAAGTGTATGTATATTCATGTTCATATATAATATAATGTTATTAATAGATCTGTATTTGTTTTACTATATATTTTACTGTGGATATTTAATATTCTGTTAACGTCTAGCCGACTCTGATCAAACAGAATGAGCTACACGTGACGGCGTCGGCGAACGTCGTCGACGTCGTCGGCTAAACGCTAGACGGACGGCTAATGCAGTCCTGTGAGTGGGTTTATTAGTAACGTATTTAGTAGTAGCAGAGCAAAAAGTTTCAAGGAAAGCACAAAGTGGTGAAACGAAGTGAAGTGATGGTTTTCCATCGAGCAAATCAGGTCAGACTTGGATTGACCATCACTGAGAAAAGAGAAAAGAACGAAAAGCTTCAAACTCCGAAGCACCACATCAGCGACAAATTCTTCAACTCTTCAACGATCTTCATTCGGTTCTAAGTAAACTTGCCTAAATGGGTATTGTGATCTGAGGATCTAAATGGATCATCAACCGAGTATTGTAGGCGTTTAGATGAGAGGTCAGCACAAGATCCTACAATTAAGGAACATGGCTTTCGGCACTGGGAATCACGTAGGCGTTGATACCAGTATTTACATAGTTTTACTACTAAGATGGTGTCGTTTTTTTTCTACAAACTACATAATACTCTTGTAATAATGACAATTGACAAATATCACTTATATTTTAGGGTTTTTGGACTTATTGCTAAAAGAAAGTCGTGTGCAGTGTACATACACACCTGGCTTCTTTTCCGCAATAGCGCAAGACAACATAATCTTGTTTTTTTTTATTGCTTTGTACGCTGTTACAATAATAAAAATGTTTATTTAACAGACAGTAAATACACACACATTCTTTCAATGGAGACACATTGTTGTTTAGACATTTAAAGATGTATAAATCTAATAGTACTGTGAACTGTTTGCCAAACTAGGCTATTGCCTGTATGTTGGGAGACAGCGTTCAGTCAGTTCACCAATATTAACCAGGGACGTGAAAGTCCTTGTAGTGTCTTTCATAACGGTTTGAGGTAAGTTACAAAGTAAGTATTGGGAGTATTTTTAAAATTAAGTTAATATTCATTTGAACACACATGTATGCTTGTGTATGAGTGTGTATCAGTGTGTGTGTGCGTATGTGTGTTGTATGTTTGTTTGTATGTGTGTTTGTGTGTGTGTGCGCGCGCGCTAGTGGGTGTATAAGAAAGAGTAAGTGTGAGTAAGTATGTGTGGTATGTGTGTGCGTGCGCATGCTGGTTGTATGTGTTTTGATGAAAGGTGGAGTGTTGTTTTGCAAGTTACGAGATTACTCAATATGTTTAAGTAGCTCTTCTGTCCTTTGATAGTCGAGTTGTTGTAGCCAAGCAGTCACTTTGTTTTTTACTTCATGTCTATTTATGCGGGCAATGTTCAGTTTTATGTTTGCGATATTGTAAACCTTGCAGCTTAGACTATAAAATTGTCGTCTACCGAAAGAAGTCTTGCAAGGAGCAGGAGAGTAGATAGGTTTCTTGCTACGTTTTTTTGGGTTAGGAGCAGGTACAGACAGATGCATTCTTAGAATGAGTTGAAGCACATAGAGCTGTCGGATAGTTAGGACGTTGGAATCTGGATATAACTACTCGGTGGGGAATCTATACGGTCGTTTGAGTAAAGTTTTCAGCACCGCTCTCTGCGCTCGCTCTAGTTTTATAAGATAAGTTTTGGCGGCCCCTCCCCATGTTGTAATACAATACTGGATAATTGATTGGTCCATTGCAGCGCTAAGTACCTATACAAGCTTAAGTTTTTCTTACGGCATTGTATCACTTAGAGATTTAAACACGTGGATTAAGCGTCTTACGCGTGTTGTCATCAAGTTTATATGTTTATCCCATTTAAGCCACTGTCTATCTGAACACCTAAATATTTAGCTGATTCGGTTTTTGTGAGTTCGTAACAGCAACAAGTTTGTGGGGACAAGCATATATGGACTTTGACAGAAAAATCTTGTGGAGGTTTGGTAAGTTTTGTGATTGAGAAGGGAACGTAGTGTGTTTTGGACAAGTTTAGGGTTAAAAGGTTTTTGTTTAGCCAGCTCAATAATCAATTGTGGACTTAGTATAACAGCGCGGATGTTAGCGGGTGAAGATCATTTCGGTTGACATATGAGCGTTGATCATAATGGGTGGCTTCGTGGCGCGCCAGCCCCGCCCACAAGGCCCTTCTAACCTCTTTCAACTGCTCTGTGTTCATAAATTCCAATCACAATTTCGTTCACGATCAATGATTATTTACAAGGTAACACAGGTACCTACATAATAATAGGTTTTTTCTCTATGAAGTTGTTTTTTTTTTTCAGATTACCATTTTCAGATTTCACTATCTGTGGATTGGCGCATTGAAATTCAAAATAAATTTTATTTTCGAAAGCAATGTTTTTTTTTTAATTTAAAATTCCTGTATTTTACTTTAGATAGTGTTTTGGTTGATTTTGCGAAATTGTTGTACTTTTTGGTGCCTTGGATAAACTGAAAATTCTTAAAATTTTCGAATAAGTTCCTACGTGGAAATACCGCTTTGCAAACAACAACGTACGTACGTGCCTAATACTGCTTGCATAAACATGTTCCATTATTGGTTCAATCGTTTTAGATCTGGAAATTTCGACCAGACCAGACCAGATATAGTCGACAACGACAAATATTGAAGGCGGTAGTGGAAATAGAACCAACTCAATTTACGGCTGAGCTTGCGCTTTGTTAGTTAGTGTCAAAACGACATTGAAGCACTTGCGTCCAATAAGAAAGCTAAAAAAACTAGATAAGTGGGTGCCACACGAACTAAGCTACCATCAGCGAGACTTACGTTTCGAAGCATGCATAGCACTACAATGATGGAGACGCTCGCAATTCAACGACTGGGCAATTGCTCTTCTCCATTGCTTTTTCCTGACAACACGCGAGCTCACACTTCACAACAGACCATCGCAAAGTTAAAAGAATTACAGTTGGAAGCTCTCCATCACCCACTATACTAACCGGACCTCGTCCCAACAGATTTCTACTTTTCATACAAATCTCCAACTTCATAGGTAAATACCTAATAACACATCTCTCCACACTTTTTTAACAATGAAAGGTGCTTTTAATGCTGATGGAGGAGTTAATGCTTGTGTCTGTTTTGCGTGTTTGTGGCAAACTGACTAAAATGACAAAGCCAGTTCCAGCTATTGGTACAGATGGAGTGGGGGAAGAGTTAAGGGTTCCTTAAATTTAAATTATTATAGGTACAACACGTAGGTACTACAAGCATGTTAAGATCATGCCCGTGACGGTTTTACTTTTATAGCAATAAATAAACGATCTTAAAGTCTGAATAAACTGATTGTAAAATACTTTTTTTCTCAATTTACCTACAGTTACAGCAAGTAGGGAATACAACTTAAATTGTTCTCGCCCTTTGATCCTAAAGGGAAAAAAGGATGGGCCGTCCCTATGAGTAAGGTGTATATTTCTGCACCCTAACTTTTTTAAGTTTCGGTCCTCTAACAAACAACCAAAAAGGAACTTTAGCTGAGGATACATTTCAAAGACGTATTTAAGTTAACGTTTATAACGGTTCAAGACCTGATATAGACGTCAATAACAAATGATAACAGTGTCCAACGTTCACTATTACTACGTAATTAATTTTGTTTATTTAATTGATGTCATAAAGTAGATACTATGATCATTACCAATTTGTATTCGATACGACAGAGTCGCAGTTAACGGTGCCTACATTACTCTAAGTACATTATTTACAACAAACTCAAAATGTTAAAGTTTAAAGTGAAATGCGTATTTTTTATATTCTCAGGATTTGTGCTATTATATGGATTTTGTCATGACAGGTTAGTGAATAGCGTACCGTGTAGGTACAAATCCATACACGTTTGATATGATTTCATAAAAGTTGAGATTATTAAGCTCAACGAGACCATAAATAGAAAATACTAGCTGTACCGTGCCATTAGCACATTGTGGTTGCATTGATGAGAAATGAGTAACAAAATTGACTCGCAAAATAGATAACAACCTTTGAAGCGGTTTGTATGTCATGTCAAAAGAGCTCAATCGCTGCAAAACTATTTCTGAAGAGTAAACAATCTAACTTAACGTTTATATTTATATAAAATAGACATATAGAATTAGCTTCATCTTGAGCATTTAGAAAAAAAAACATCATATAGGAATTAACTGGTATTTGCTAAATTCTGTTAAAATACGTCCTCACAACAATTTCAGTCGTGTAAACACACCCTGAACTAAGTAGGTAATTAAAGCTTTGAATATTATTCAAAGCTTCAATTACTGCATGTGAACTAAATGACCCAATGCTCTGTATCTAATCAGTAGGTAATAATGACTATTATGTAATGCTGGTTAAGACATAGCCTCTAGTTAAAGTATTATGAATAGGATACACATACACTATAATCATGTCGCTGTGAGATTGTATACTGTTTGTCGTGACTGACTGGCTTTCTCTAATTTTTAGGTTAATATTATCATCTAGATAAACTTCTAAATTATTTGGCACCAACAATACCATATAAAAAAGTGCAAATTCAAGCCTGGTGTACTTACATAATATTTTATTTCTTTCCGTTTCTTATTTTAGATTTAACTAGTAACTTTATGTACAAATAATGTAGAGAAAGACTTACTAATCACAAACATTGTTGCTGAGAGCATTGACTTGCTGACAGACCTCTTGTTCGGGACTCGAGTTCATTTACGGACAGGTCAACGGCTTAGATCATATAGGTTCGGTGTAGATCACTATTTCGCATCTAACTCAGTTCTCTCTATTATTTTTGCCAACTCATAAATAGAACTCATAAATATACAATCAACCGACAAATGTAAAACACAATAGCGTTTTATTCTCATTGTTTAAGACATTAGTTATTCTAAGTACTAGAACTTTGAGTTCAATGACTGACTGACAATGTTGTTGATTCCATCTTGCGTCTCTCTGCGAAAACACAAATACCTACCGGTATTGCTCTATGCCCAAAATAAATAAATAGTAACTTAAAAAAAACCGGCCAAGAACTTGTCGAGTCACGCCCAATGTACAGGTCCGTATTTACCTATCACAATAATGCTAACTAACACGACCGATCTTTGGTGTTTTGCTGAGTGTTTAACGGTGTCGGCGGCACATGAACTCATGACTTCTAAAAACGGCTCTACATGGGACGATGGTAACTGAAAAAGGAGTTCTTGCTTCTCAATTTTTTTTTTTTTTAATCTAAGTAATAAAGTTGTTAGTAGGTTGTAATAAAGAATGATAACCAGCGTCGTGTATTAATTGTAATACTGCTGCTATTGTCGTTACTGTAATAGTCTTTTAAAATCTTGGACCCATCTTGGACCGATTTTCATCAACCATAGCTAAGAACACTCCCGACTAATTCACCTTACACACAGACACTTCAAATTTATAACACCAACACCAAGGGGTTAAAAATAAAATAGATTTAACTAAAATATATACATATACTTATATACACGAGAGAAGGGCGTTTCGTTATTTCATATCACATTACCAGTTTCGGCGGCCTACGTCTAATTAGTTGGTCGACTATTACTCGTAAACTAATAAAGCCTTACTTTGCCGTGATAGTTTTTGTAACGAAGTTCCTTATCTCGCGTTACACGCTCTGAGCGGTTGGGAGAGCGAGACCGAAGAATGTGTAACAAGACTTTTTCCGATACTTATTGCTATACTTCGTTCCGACCGTTTCCTACCGAATTCGGTAGGTATGTATTACTGTGAACTCCATAAGGCGAATTTTCGTATGGAAGTTCGGTCACAATTCCGTTCCAACCAACTTTCGATCTCACAACTGTCATAAAAGGTATTTTCGTAGTAAAGTATTAAACATCTAACGTTGACTTGATGTAATTATATTGTATTGTAACCAAAAATTGAATAGGTAATCTGCTAGTCTCAGTAATACTTTACTATTTTACTACGAAAATACCTATTATGACAGTTGTGAGATCGAAAGTTGATCGGAACCGAATTGTGACCGAAACTTTTATTACGAGACAAACGGATACCTTAATCAAAATATTGTCTTCACAAACCTTTATAATTTTTAAAGACCTATCCAATGACACCCCACACCATAGGATGGATGGATATAAAAAATAACATTCCCACATTATAGGTTCGTACTAGAGTTACCTACCGGTTTTTTTTTTATAAGATTTTATTTTACTACTTTTTCGGCTTGTTAGTGTTGTTACGTATTAGGGTTCGTTGATTTGGAATAATAAACCTGACGACTAAAGAGACTTTGTTATACCACGCTCATAGACGTTCAAACAGTACCGAATGTCCGGACCTTAGATGTAAGGCCGGTTTAAAACTAATCCGTTTAAAATGAAAAACAAACTGTTTAAAACCGAAATAAACCATTTTTTCGATTTAAAACGGTTGGTGTTGATGACTATGTTTTTCTTAATTATTTTATGGATTTAATCGAGGTAGAGATTTGACGGAGTACCTATAAACTGTGTAAAGATTTTTTAAATGTGTGATATACTTGGCGGGTTTAGTTCTAGTTGGTCCGTCCGACTATGCGTAGGTATAACCTACCTAGTCCTGTCACGTTTCCCGTCTTTTGATATCCTGGCGGATATGGACACGGCCGCAACAATTTATAACGATTGGGCTGATAGGCGGGGGAAGCCCGCAGATTCACATACTCCTGGCTCCTACATCCCTAAGGAGCCGGAGATCCGAAGGGATTTTTCACCCCGTCAACAAAAAAAAAAGTTATAAAAACCTACCTAAGTTATAAAAACTGTATTTATAAGTTAAAAGCATTTTTTAATTGTTTTCAAACGATATAAATAATCAATTTGATTAGGCTTAAAACCAAACTCACACTCTCGCGCTCTCGTTGAAGTCACTCGCGACGGCCTTGAAGACAGTCTTGTCTATTTCATGCGCAAGGACGGACGGCAAAACGGAAGGCATCGTGTTAAGCCCGGGGTTCTCTGACCATCACTCGCGTACGATCGCCGACCAACGCGTGTCCGCCGCCTGTGGCGTACGCGTGTAGCAAAATGAACGAAAATATATTAACATTATTTAGAGAAGAAGTGGCAGATGAAATTCTGATGTTATCAAAGAAAAGAAAAAAAACTAATTCAATAAGAATTCACAAAATCACCGACCCACAACTAGTTGTTTGATACATCGATCGATAAAAATAAAAAAAATATAAAAATAATAAGCAAATCTTCTTTTTCCTTATTAAAACTCATTTTAAAGCACAAATCACCCTCTAATTGATTCCGCAAAACAAGGCCACAAAGGCGCGCAACACATACTTGCTGTAGCTAGCAGACATTAGTAACGACCAAGTTTGTGACAATTTAAAATAGTTTAATTTCAAAATATAATAGAAATGGCTTCAAAGTCAAGTAAGACACACAGTCATCAAAAAGATGCATAACATTTAATCGGTAAGTATTTTTTTATTATTATTAACCTATTTCAAATACACCGGAATTCAACTTATACTGGTGCAAAGTAATAACAATAAAACACCCGTTGATGTCTTTTTAAAATGTTCCTTTCACTCATTAGTTGTCTTTACACATATAGTGCCACCAACTTATCTGTTCAGTAGACGGCGTCGCTACTGGAGCGATAGGTGTTGCTATTTAAAAAAATTGTCAGGAGTTTAGGGTATTTAAAACATACGAAATCAAGTGAGCTGTCATTTTAAATATTGATCGAAGTTTATTAATTAATGTTTAAATATCATAACTATATAATTTATAAATTAGTTGAAAAGAAAGAAATATTTTGTTTTGCAAATAGATAATACGATTTATTATATCAAACTAGTTACATTATATTTTATAAAAATAATTGTGGTCGTGATCTCTAAGTTCCAGTGGCTGCACCCCAGGAATCCCAATAGAATATGATGAACTGGTGGTGGGGCAGTCTGGTGATACCCACGGCTCATCATCTGAATCACTTAAATCGCTTTCACTATCACTCTGTAATTGAATAATGAAAGGTTCATCTAAATGAGCATCCTTTTTTCTGTACTCACATGCAATTTTTTTCACGTGTTGGCAGTGGTTTTTCCACTCTGCCGAACTGATCTTGCAAAATGCATTTTCAATTAACTGGGGCATTTGAGCACTTGACTTCCCAACATTTTGCTCTGCAACATTTCTCTTCATTGAACTCCATATCATTTCTATGGGGTTCAAGTCGCAATGATATGGAGGCAACCTAAGCACAGAATGACCGTGGCTTTTTAATAAATTATCAATTTCGTATTCTGGAGCAGGTTTGTTTCTTTTTATTAACTCCAGCAGCTGAGGCTTTGTCATTTGCTCTGAAAAGTCAATATTTTTTTCAGATAGCCACTCTTGCATGACAGCCTTAGTGTGGTTAGAGTTAGGACACTTATTTATGCAAACGCTGTGATAGGGCGCATTGTCCATAACAATTAGTGAGGGTTTATGTAGGTTCGGTAGTAATTTTTCCAGAGTCCACTTTTTAAAATTATTGTTGTTCATTTCGTCGTGGTAATCACCACTTTTCGTGTTTGATTTAAATAAAAGCAGAGCATTCTCCACAAAACCTTCTTCTCCCCCTGCATGAACTATAATCCACCGGTGACCTTTAGAGACTGGTTCCAAATCACCTTCGACATCAGGGCCTTGCCAGCACTTGCCAGTTGAGTGAGATGAGTGTATGTAGGTTTCATCTAAATAAATAACTGGTCTATCCTCACCACACTCATTATTATGAATTTTTTGTAAATAAGTAGCCCTCCATGCGACTATATCATTACGCTCACAA